TGAGCTAATTCTACATTATTGTAAGGTTACATTAACAGAATCTTGCAAGTCTGAAAGTACATTTCTCCCCCATCCCCTCTATAGGCCAAGAAACAAGGGAGAGTCCCCTCTGAAATGCTTGCCCCGCCGACACTCCTATGGGCTAAGTTGTCTTTGATCTGACTGTTCCCTTGGCTGTGGCTCTTCTGCCTGTTTCCCAAAGTCATTCCCACACACCATTACACAAACCTTCATTTCCTGGAGAAAGGAACTAACACATCTCAATAGGAAGAAAAGGGATGAAAGCACAATAGAATGTCACAACTTGTAATAACTAGCATGGGTACCATGATCTCTGTAGAGTATAAAAGGGGGAAACATGGTTTTGGCAAAGCTGGGATTCTTCCACAAGAACTGCTTGGAATCTCCCAACTCTTTCTTCCACTTGGAAGGAGGAAAAGGGCACTCTCTCTTTCTCTCTACTTTTCTTTTAGGAGTGTATATTGTGTGTGTGTGTGTGTGTGAGTGGATGTACTGTATGTTGCTTGCAGAATATGTTCTAATAAAGTAATTAGAAAACAACTGATGGTGCTCCTGGGTTGTTTTTATGGGCCTTCATTCTCTGTGTTCAAACTTTGCAAATATAGTCCTATATATTTTGACATATTTGGTGGAGCAGTTGCAAATAGATGATTGGGAGGAAATGCAAAACACTGTGAAACTACTTTCTCAGTTGGGTAGACTGCAGTCTTCTTTTTTTTGTCCCAACATCTGGCACAACATAGAGGAGTAAATTGAGATAGTGGAGGTACCTCAATTTAAAAGCCCCATTTGATGATGTTTTCACCCAGAACCTTTTCTAAAAGTCCTAGAAGCTCTTGACCCAAATGTATATCCTAAAATCCTCCATTTTTTTTACACAAAGGATTAATCCTATGTGAAAAGTTACTTACAAACAAAGAATGAAAGAAAATGAATTGTATAAATGGATCATTGCTAAAAGTGTAGTCTAGGATGAATAGAATTTATCCAAATTGGCTAGGTGAAGCAGAAAAAGTTTTAAAAGATTTTTCATAAAGTTTACTGGGGAAAAGCTTAAATGTAATTTATGACCTGACAGAATATCTGAAATAGTGATATTTATTGAATTTAGTTCCCCTCTCTGAATTTCTGTCCTTCTCCATCACTTCCTCTGTTTTACAGGTAGTCCTTGACTTACGACCATTTGTTCAGCGACTGTTTGAAATTACGGCGGCGCTGAATAAAGGGACGTATGACTGGTCCCTGAAGTTACGGCCATTGCTGCACCCTCCATGGTCACATGATCAAAATTCTGACGCTTCACAGCCCTCCTCCACTTACAACCACAGGGGCGCTTCAACTCCCCCCACTCGTTTATCTCCCCCCCAGCTATGTCCCTTTGGCTGCCCTGCGCTTGCTGGCCCTGCCACTCCTGCCAGCCTTGCCACTCCAGCTGATTTTCGCTGTCTTCTTCCTGCTGCTGCTGGTGCTGAGGTGCACCTGGCCTAGCCCTTCACAAAGCAGCTGCTGGCCATGCCAGGCCTTCTTTCTGAGGCCATGCCTGCCCCTTGTCCAAATTGCGCATCGCTGGCTAGAAGGTTCCTTCTTTTGCACTGGTGTAACTAGGGCCTTCTTTCATGCGCCTGTCTTGAAAAAGGCAAGTGCATGAAAGAATGCCCCAGCTGTACCAGTGTGAAAGAAGGACCTGGCTAGAAGGGCCCTTTTCAAGGCAGGTGTGTGAAAAAAGGCCCTAACTGTGCCGAGCCTCACATGGCCAGCAGTTTCCTTGCAAAGGGCCAGGCCAGGCATGCTTCATCAGCAGCGGGAACAAGAAGACAGCGAAGGTCAGCTGGGGCAGTGGAGTGCACGGCAACAGGGGCTTCAGAGTACAGGGTGGCGAGGGCGACTGCAGCTGGGACTGGGCTGGGGCATCTGGGGCTTCCTGGGACATGGCAGCTTTGCACCGCGCTGTTGGGGCTTCCCGGGGCGTTGCCATTTTGTGCTGCACTGTGGCTCAGAGGCTTTTTGCAGCCCCAGAGCTGTGGCACACCAGGAAGCGCCTTTGTGCCATGCTGCTGGGCCAGGCTGGATCTGGGCTTTGCGCAGCACAAAGGGGCTTCCTGGCACTCCGTGGCTTTGGGGCTGCAAAAAGCCCCTGAGCCGTGGCGTGCCAGGAAAGTCCCTTTGCACTGTGCTGCTGGGCCGGGCTGGGGCCAGGCTTTGTGCCGTGCTATTGGGGCTTCCAGGGGAGGCTGTGGCTTCTTGCAGCCCCAGAGCTGTGGCACATCAGGAAGCCTTTGAGTCACAGCATATTCTTTCCCTCACCATCCTGAGCTTGCGCCGCACTGCACCGCCCCCCTCCCCCACCTCATCTCTGGCCTGTGCCGGCTGTCCCAGGCCTTCCCCCTGGTGGCACCGCTGTGCCCCTTACCTGGGACTCCCACCTCTTCCTGCTTAACGACCCATGTGTCCTGGGGTTATGATAGCAACCAGGACTGCCTGGATTGCTGTCACTAAGCAATGTGGTCACATGACATCATGCTTTATGACTGCATCACTTAGCGATGGAAATTCCAATCCCAATTGTGGTTGTAAGTTGAGGACTACTTGTTATCTTAATATCTGAATAACTGAGAAAGGTCACACATTGATAATCACATCCTGTGCCTGGAAGAGAAAGTGATAGGGGAGAGGGTGGAGGCAGATTTGAGTACCTGTAAAGGTTGTTGTTCACTGCACTTCACTAGAGGGTCGATTATTGACTGCAGTTCACTTGAGAATTCCTGAAACTCCGAGCCAGAGCAGTACAACAGTTCCTGTACCCAAACAAAACAGAGGGGGAAACACTCATCTCTTGTTGAACGTTGACATAAAAACAAAATACGATGCAGAATAATTATAATTAGAAAGACTGCACTTTTCTGAAGGCTAACCCTTATGACATGTTGTGGGATTGTCCTAGCCTGTTAGGTGAACCACATCATCCTGATAAGCCATCATATGATTTGTTTAGGCACAAGAGTTTTGTTAACCTGGGATTTGGGTTTAGCAATTAGCATGTTGGGTGAACCCAGTTAAAGAGCAGACATACATGGGATTGTCCTATCAGAAAGATTATTTCCAGGCTTTATATGCACCCATAAAGAATTGCAACATTTCCCACCAACAATCTGTTTCAAGAATCTGCTTTAAAATGAACTCTTGTTCTCTTAAGTAAAACATTCCTCTTGAACTAGTCCCAATGTCTTACACCGTCTTCCACAGCAGTACAATCTTCATTTGGCTTCTCAACCACAGCCTTGGAACAATTTGTCTGCTGAATTTTGAAGTCAACTTTATATATTATTCCATTCACAACCTGAAATTGAAAGGAAAAAAATGACTGGCTTTTATACTGGATGCTGGGAAGCATGAAGCATGAAGAACAAAAACCTTAGCTTGCTGTCAGGTTAGCTCATGCTGGGTTCAATGGCCTCAGGGACCCATTCCTTCTCCATGATTCTAATGAAAGCAAGCAAGTGAAAGGGCCGTGGAAAGATGGTCTGCTGCTGCCTTAGAAGCATGGAAGAAACTGCCATATATGAAGTCAAACCACTGATCTATCAGTCCCATATAGTTTTTTTTATTATTTATTTATCAAATTTGTCACTGGCCATCTCAGTAAAAAATGACTCTGGGCAGTTTACAGAAAAGCTAAAATCAATTAAAAATGCAATATACTGTAAAATAGTCCTGAATAAATGATAAATAAATATAGTCCAAGAATTGATGTTAATTGGCAAGTAGCTTGGGGAGCGTGATCCAGGCATCAGTCACCCCCAGGATTGGTTAAAGTTCTTGTTGCCCCACACAAGCTGGCAGAGCCAGGACTTTAGTCCTTTCTGGAAAGCTGAGGGGGCAGGGACCTGACGCCCCTCTGGAGGAAGAATATGCCAAAGGGCAGGGGCAATGGCACAGAAAGCTCTCCTCCTGGCCTCCACCAGCCAACATTCTCTTGCTGACGGGGTCTGTAAAGTAAAGTAAAGGTGTTATATGTGCCATTCTTGGGGCACCCAAGATTGTCCACGCGGCCACATTTTGAACCAGCTGTAGCTTCCAGATACTCTTCAAAGGTAGCCCCGTGTAGAGCGCATTTCAGTAGTCTAACTGAGAGATGACCAGGGTGTGAGTGACTGACCGGAGAGCCTCCTGATCCAGGAAGTTGACATTGGCTGGCAGGACTCTCCATGGTTTGAGACAGGCATCTTTCCCAGCCCTGACTGGAGATGTCAGGAAATCAAAGCACTCACAAATATGTGCTTTGTCAGAGTCATCATCCCCCAACACAGAGTTTCTGCACCCTGGTGGCCCTTCTCAGTCTGATACACTTCAGGCTGCAATCCTTAGACGCTCCAGCCCATCTAGAGGCATCCAGTTGGGAAAGTTTGAGACATGGAAATCATTGGTCTTTGTGATGGAATGGAAGGAGAGGGGTCAAGGACAGAAGCATCTCCTCAGCCCCCAGCGTGAGCATGGGAAAGCAAAGAAGATGAGACTGGCACCACCCTAAGGAATTGGTAGTGTTTAGTTGCTGGCTTGGGGAGTTTGGAGTTAGTCTGCCGAGATTCTGTCTAGCAGGTGTGAGCTAATAAAGTAACTGAGCTGTTCCAGAACTGTCTCGTGGAGTTTCTTGGGCTTCACCTGACAGTCTTCCACTATCAATTTTGTACAAGACCAGAGGAATTGGAAAGGGATTCATGCTCTATGTTGCACTGTTCAGACTGCACCTGGAATACTGTGTCCAATTCTGGTCACCACAATACAAAAAAGGACTGGAAAGAGTCCAGAGAAGAGTGACAAAGATGGTAAGGGGCTTGGAGGTTAAATCCTATGAAGGGCAGTTAAAGGAACTTGGTATGTTTAGCCTGAGGAAGGAAAGGCTGAGGGGACACGTGATAGCAGTCTTTCAATACATGAAGGAATGTCACAGTACGGAGGGTGTGGATATATTCTCCATAGTGCCCAAAGGTAGGACTAGGACAAGAACCGGTGGGTGGAAGCTCTATAGAGGGAGATCCAAACTTAAAATAAGTTTCCTGACAGTGAGAGCTATTAAGCAGTGGGACAGCCTGTCTCCTGGCATTGTGAGTGCTCCATTTCTGGGGGTTTCCAAGAAAAGATAGGATTGTCATTTCTCCAGGATGATATGAGGATTCCTGCATTGGGCAGGAGGTTGGACTAGAAGACCTCCAAGATCTCTTCCAACCTTATGATGCTGTGATCAAGATCAAAAGACCACTGTCCCAATTCAAACCCACTTTTTCTTATCTGAGTTGCAATACAGTGGTAGAGGCAGAATTCAAACCTGTGATGTAGCTTTCAGGACTGCTACAACTTTGAAATAGAAGTCCCTGTTGCTTTTTTCATTATATGATTTCAAAGCAGCTTCTAGAAGCTTCTTCACTTCTGGGCTGTCCAGTGGTAATGGGTTGGGGCAGCCAGCACACATATCAGGAGGTCTCTCCTTTTTCTCAGCTATTAAAAACATAAAGATAACATATAGGTTTATATTAGATTATTCCAAAAATGAAAGGGTGCGAGTATAACAGCCTGCATCAATGTTATTTTCTGTAATGGAGTAATGAACACATTTTGCCCATGCAAAAAATGCATTGGTGCAAATTGTCCTGTAGCAATTTGGAGTTTGCTGGTAGTGATGGTCTCATTGTGTGGTTATCCACAGTTGCATCATGGCCACTGATTTGCGTATATAAAGGAATGTTTTATTCCATTCCACTATAAATAATTCTGGAAGCCATATCTAACCTGACTGATACTTTGTGATCATTTTTGTTTTCTGATGGCCAATCTGTGCTCCTCCAAATGTTGAATTGCAAGTCCTATCATCCCCTCTACTTTGGATGTCTTAGCTGTGCCTGATGGGTTCTCCCCATTCCCCACATCTTTTGGAAGTATGGTCAGAGAAGGAGGATTCTAGGAACTGTGCTTCAGCAACTTTATCAGGGCCTTCGCATTTGTAGTAGAAGACCCTAAAGAACTGAATACATTCAATGTGAATTTGTCATTGTTGTGATACACCAAGCAATTCTGAATCAAGGAAGCAGCAGTTACAAACCTGGCAATCTGCA